ACGGGGGCTGCGGCTCTGTGGGCTGTGTGCAGTGGGTGTGTATACGGGGGCTGCGGCTCTGTGGGCTGTGTGCAGTGGGTGTGTAGACGGGGGTCATGGCTGCAATGGGCTGTGTGCAGTGGGTAGAGATGGGTAGTGTGTGTACTGGGTGGTGCAGTGTATGAAGCCCTGTGTTTGGTGGGTGATTAATGGGTGTTTGTGAGTGGTGAGCTATGTGCAATAGGGTTGTGTGTGGAGGTTTGTAGTGTGCTTTTAGCAAGATTGTGTTTGTAAGAAGTAAGGGCTGTGAGGGGAGGTGAGGGTACTGCATGCCGAGTGGGGCGTCATTGGTGTGGATGTGTCTGCACATGCTGCGCTTTGTGTTCAGGGGTGTATGTAGGGAATGAGGTGAATGTGAGTGGTGGGCCTGTGCATGTGTGAAGAACAGATGTTCTCTTTCCTGGGTGAAAACATGCCTGGGTGAGAGAGAGACAGAGACAGTGGCAAATAGAGATGGAGAGAGATGGAGACCAGCAGAGACAGGCCTGGAGACACAGACAGAGGCCTGCACTCTCCTGTGCCACCCCCACCTAGGTGCCAATTGCTTCTTTGCCACTCATTTCTCTTGAGCCCCCAAACTCCTTCTTAGAGGGCCTGTCCTTGGCCTCTCAGAGGCAACCTCTCCTGCTGATGGGCTGGCAGCCACCAAGTAAGCCCAACCATGCAGGTCAGATCCTTCCAGTAATTTGGGACTTGGAGATTCTAGTCTCCAAGGGGGTCCACTTGGCCTGGAGATGAGCCTCTTGGCCAGTGGGAAGGGCACAGAAGTGGCGGGGACTATGGAGGACCCAAGAGGGGTGGCCCAGGTGATGGCCCTGCTCATCAGGTCTGCAGGCAAAACTGCGGGGCTCCTCATGTGCAGACTCAGCACATTCCACTTCTGGTGGGTGAACGCTTAGAAGGCCAAATGAGGTGAGCCACAGTCGAGAATGTGTGCTGTGGGGGGAGAGGAGATGTGCATGGGCATCCAAGGAGGGGCAGGGGCCCAGACCCCAAATGGGGTGATGTCTGGCACAGGGCTTTTAAGGGGGCAGGAGGCTACCGGAGGTGGTAAGAGTAGAGCCCTAGTCCAGCAGCACCAGCATCTGCAGGAGGGGGAACACATGGCATGCAGGGGAAGGACTAAGGGAGGAGAGAGACAGAGGGCAGCAGTCCACAAGCAAGGAGCAAGGCGTGGGGAAACTAGACCTGCTAACACCTTGACCCTGAACCTCCAGCCTGTGAGAAATAAATTCCCATTATTCAGCTGCTTGGTCTGTGTGAGTGGACGACAGACCACTGAGAGAGGTGATCACTGTCATGCCCGTGCAGGGCTGGTCCATCTTTTATCCAGCCAGGCATGTGTACATAGGAGGGTGTCCTGGGCACCAGGTGTAAAAGCAGCCCCGGCCTGCCCTCAGGGAGCTCTCAGAGCCCTCATGGGGCTGCTGGCAGATGGCTGTGCAGTCAGAGCCTCAGGGTGCCTGTGACTCAGGCTCCCAGGGATTCCTTGGCCAAAGGCCCTGGACCATGTGTGGGTGTTCTATCCATTGGATCCTTGGGACTTGGTCCTTTACCCCACTGGGATGCAATATATACCCTCTTCAGAGCTCAGAACTAAATGAGGGTGCTGGTGATACTAGAATTTCTTCTTCAGTAGGTCCTTAGTCTCAGGGATTCGAAGAATGAATCCACGGACCACAGATCCGTGGCAAGACAGGATTTATTTTACAAAAAAGAATATAGAAAAAAATACTAGAGCTCCTGGCAGAGAGAAAAACCCAAGTGAGAAAAAAAAATCTCCCCTCTCTGCTTGGGTTCTTTGTCTAGGGGTATATATAGTTGCATGCGTCCTTTGTAGTTACATTAGACCAGGACTTGGTAACAAAGAATGGATACAGGCCCTTCCTCTGGGGCAAGGTGAATGAATGCACTAATAAATGGATACAGGCCCTTCCCCGGGGGCAAGGTGAATGAATGCATTAATGAATGGATACAGGCCCTTCTGCTGGGGCAAGGTGAATGAATGCACTAATAAATGGATACAGGCCCTTCCCCTGGGGCAAGGTGAATGAAGGCATTAATGAATGGATACAGGTTCTTCTGCTGGGGCAAGGTGAATGAATGCATTAATGAATGGATACAGGCCCTTCCCCTGGGGTAAGGTGAATGAACGCATTAATGAATGGATACAGGCCCTTCTGCCAAAATAAAACTTACTGAAGGAAAAGAACACCAGGCACAGTGGCTTAGGCCTATAATCCTAGCACTCTGGGAGGCTGAGGCAGAAGGACTGCTTAAGGCTAGGAGTTCAAGACCAGCCTGAGCAAGAGTGAGGACCTTAAAAATAGAAAAAGTAGGCTCGGCGCCTGTGGCTCAAGCTGCTAAGGCGCCAGCCACATACACCTAAGGTGGTGGGTTCGAATCCCCAGCCCGGGCCCGCCAAACAACAAAGATGGCTGCAACCAAAAAATGGCCGGGCGTTGTGGCGGGCGCCTGTAGTCCCAGCTACTTGGGAGGCTGAGGCAGGAGACTCGCTTGAGCCCAGGAGTTGGAGGTTGCTGTGAGCTGTGATGCCATGGCACTCTACCCAGGGGGATAGCTTAAGGCTCTGTCTCCAAAAAAAAAAAAAAAAGTAGGGCAGTGCTTGTGGCTCAAAAGGGTAGGGCACCAGCCCCATATGCTGGAGGTGGAGGGTTCAAACTCAGCCCCAGCGAAAACTGCAAAAAAAAAAAAGAAAAAGTAGTTGGGCATTATGGCGGGCGTCTGTAGTCCAAGTCACTTGGGAGGCTATCACAGAAGGATCACTTGAGGCCAGAAGTTTGAGGTTGCTGTGAGCTATGAGGACACCACTGCACTCTAGCCTGGGTGACAGAATAAGACCCTGTCTAAAAAACAAAACAAAACAAACAAAACCAAAAGTAGATTCTTTGTAGTTCATAAACATAATGACTAGATTTTCATGCTCCTGTATGAAATGTGCCTCCCTCAGAATTTGTAAAGGTGATGTCAGCATATCACCTGTCTGACATAAAATTTAAAAAAAAAGGAACTATCTTGTGGTCATTTGTCAAAGCATAGCATCCAGGGTGATGGGCATTTCTCAGCTCCCTATATCACACTGGAATTCACATAATGAGCTATCAAAGAAAATGAGACTGTCTATATCATAGAGAAAAACTATACTTCTCTACCCTGCATTAATTGAAACCATTGCCAGAAGCAAAATCAACAATATAATTCAATAAAGTAAGGAAGCCTCACTGCCTACGAGGCTTTTAACCAGTTGTCGTGGGGGTGTAAAAGCATAAAACTCACTGTTCCTGACTGTGGGAGTTTATAATCTAACTGGGACTCAAACAAGTAGGATCTCCTAGTAGAACTCTAGATAGTGACACCGGACTTAACAGATCAGGACACCAGAATGAATGGCCCCAGACAGAATAGGCCGACTTACTCAGGGGGTGGAGCAGGATGCAGGGTCCACGGGGTCTTCTTAAAAGAGGACAAAGTTGAGCACAGACTTAATGAGTGGATAGGCGCAAGTGGATGCAAAGGAGACTTGCAGGCTGGAGGACCAGGGAGCTCCCAGGAGTCAGAACATACACGGTTATACTGGAGCCAGGGGTTCATGGGGCCAGCGATAGGAGTTGGAACGGGGCGGGGCTGGGGGATGGTGCTGAGATGTCTGTGAAGGATGCTGGACAGCAGTTGGTGAATCTGGATTCCTCCATCCAGCAAATGTGGAGCTATCAAAGGGCTTGGGGAAAGGAGTAGTGATCAAAGCAAGTTCTTGGGAAGCAGCAGCTCACTTTGTCATAGTAGATAGAGTGATGGGAGGAGGGTTTGGGAGGTACCTGTGGCTCCATCGCGGTGATGTGGGAAAGAACTCCTCATGACCCTGACGAGAATGTAGCCATTTTGGGAAAAAGCCGGTGAGAGAAAGCAGGCCAGAAACTAACTGCATGATCACCGCAACCCCTTCACCATTCCCTAAGATGCTTCAAGGCCAGTGTTCGGGAAACAGCTGAACAGTAACTTTTCCTCTGGCCCGGGCTGGTGGCCAATTAAGGGAGTAACTTCTAGATTTGCTCTGAGTGCAAAAATTAAACTCCCCTTGGGGACCTCCCTCCCACATTCAACCCTGATAAGGTGGAGGGAAGCTTCTTTAAACTGTGTGAAATGAGCTGACTCCTAGTTGACCCCACTCTGCTCTTTCTCTCCCCTTTCTCTACTAATAAAGCCTTTCTAATCCCTGAACTGGCCTCCTTTCCTTCTCACAGACCTTCCTGACTCTACCCTGTTCCCCTCAGGCAAAGCACACCTTACATTGGGCGGGGGGAGAGACTCTCTCTCCATCTCAAGGGTCCACTGACCCTGGTGAGAACTCTGGAGCCAGCCTCCCTCTCCATCTCAAGGGTCCACTGACCGTGGTGTCCTGCACATTCATTGCTTCTCTTCCTGATGACATCAGCTAGTCCCTGCTGACATCAAGTGTGCTCTAAAGACAGAGTGACCAGAGATTGATAAAAGTTTTCCAGGGGATAAGACTTATCAACTTCTCCATAGAGTTTCCCTAGGTTCCTGACCTCTTACCGTTAGTTTTTTGTTCTAAATCTAGGCTGAGGGTAAGATGTTAGGTTTCTAAATGAGGGCTCTGGAGTGTACCTTTGAGCCCTGTCTCTGGTTAATAAATTGTCACAACTCCATACCCAGTTAGCAATTCACAGTGAGGACAGGGAGCTCAACTTTTCCCTAACCCACCAGATAACATGGCAACTTCACTTTCCACTCATGTGAGATGGCTGGGAGGCATTTCTGATGCTCATTTCTGTCTCACTTCCCCCTGGAGTTCCTTTTCCCACTAACGTATCAGCTCTGCTTATTTTGTGCCCATCTTTCCAACTGAGTTTCCCATGGGCATCTTCAACAAACCGCTACTTCTCTGTCTTCATTATCTGACTGACCTCGCCTGGCCACCCAGTGTGGCTTTCTCCCACTTCTCTCTGTCCTCTAAGAGTTGATTCCTTGTGTCTGGAGGACGGGCAGTGATGGCTGTCACATTGGGCTGTGCAGGTGGTCAGGTGTGAGGGGGAGGTGGGCACCCCCGTCAGCCTAGTAGAAACAGCCTAGGAACTTAGGTTTACTGACTGCAAGGCTGAATTAAGTAAAGTAAGACATGTGAATGTCCTTCAACAAATGTCTGGAAGGCTGCTTGTCAGCTGCGCCCCATACCGACTTCTCTCTGTGTTGGTTACTCTGAATCAGAATGTTGGTAATCCCCCCCACCTATCGGCGAACCCACTGAGGGTTCCCCTAACATGCTCCCAATGGGCAGAGCCAACCCAAGCAGTGTCTTCATATTTCCCCTTTGTCTGCTGACTGGGTGAGTGGAAATGGATGCTAAGGAGAAAACTGTGGAATATGCAGAGTGGACGTGGTGGTGGAGTGCCTGCTCTGGGTGGAGGGAAACAGGGCAGGAGACTGTAGCTAGACCAGCACAGGAGTGATGAGAACGCAGGAGACGATTAGTAGCAAGTGGGGCAGGACACACCAGAGACGATCTGGAGTGACTCACAGTGGCTGTGACAGGGTCTGGACAGGACCCTGGAAATGGAAAGGGGGGTATTAGTGAAAAAACTAGTAACATTTGAATAATGTCTTTCATTAATAGTAACATGTGCTGATGGTTAGTTCCTGGTGTCAGTGACTCTACCATGGTTGTGGAAGATGCTAATGTTAGGGGAACCGAGGTGAAGAAGGGAATTGTTGGTACTTTTTCACGTTCTCTGCATATACAACATTAATCTAAAATAAAACATTTTTACAAAGAAGAGCTGTCAAGGTGTGATGATGTAAGGTACAAGAGATGATCAAGATCAACTCCAAGGTTCTTTCTTGAACAAATGAGATCTGTGTAGGACCCAGGGCCTGGTATTTCCCATGTTTAAATCATCAGTGTGGACAGCTCCCATTCTCTGCCCTGGATGAGCACCCGTGATTAGCTCACTTACGCTTGGTGCACCCTGCACACTGGCGCGTTTCACATTTCACTTCACAGGAGAGAACCGAGGCCTAGGAGTTCCGCAAACAGCTGCAGATGGCACCGTGATTTGCGTCTTCTGACACAAGTTTGTTCTCCATGTGACGAATGAAAGCTCAGATGGAAGGTAAGAAGCACTGGAGAAAAGACGACCCTCACAGAACCGAGGGTCACAGACTGGGGTCCACCAGGGCCGTGGCTGTCTGTCCCAGCTGGACCAGCTCTGCCTGGTGTCCTGGCACTTGCCTCTCGTTGGCTGCCCTGGGTCCTGGGCACAGCAGAAAGGATCCAGCCTCACAGTAAACTAGGAGGCCTCCCAGCCTAGAGCAGGCAGTGAGTGCTGCTTACCACTGGGCGCCCTTTACTCCTATGAAGTTTGCCACTTGGAGGCACCTGCCCTGGGCCTCCCCTGTTCCCAGAGCCTGCCCTCCCTCCGGCTTCCTCCTCCCCCAGGCAGGGAGCCTCATCCTCACAGCAGTGGAATCCTATCCTCAGGCCAGACTGCCCTTGAGCCCACTCTGTAATCCTGACCTATTGTTATTATGCTAGTAAGACTTCATCTCCAGATCCCAGCTGGGGGACACCATGAGGGCAAGTCTCTGGGCAGCCCCCCCAGACACAGGAGCGGAGGCCTGCAAGGGTCAGGTACTCTTGCCCACAGGAAGCTCAGAAACTGGCAAAGAGCCCAGCAGTATAGAGGTGACTGATGGCAGGAGGGAGACCAGTCTTATTGAAAATGAACATGTCTGTCCTGGGATGGCAGAGTGCAGAAAGCCAGGGAGAGGTGAGGGGGCACTGGCAAAGCCTTAGAGAAAAAGTGCCCAGGCCCAGGGTCTGCCTCCCTGTTAGGGCTCCAAGAGGCCCTGATGGGCTACCGGCTGCCTGTGGAGCCCAGTGCTGGGCCCGGAAGGGAGGGGTCCTCAGAGGGCTTGGGGGTAGAAGGTACACCTGGCTGCTGTGTGGGCAAGCACAAGTACCTGAAGTTCAGCAGTCCCCCTTCCATGGTCTCAGGAGGGACCGGAGGGCCCAGCACCAGGAGGTGTGGTGGCAGGGACCTGACACAGAGAAGACATAGAACTTGGCAACCACATAAGCATGAGGAGGAAGGGGTAGCTCTTACCAAGACAGCGAATCCCCTTGAGAGGAGTATGCTTCAGGGAAAGAGCAGTGTTTCAGTTTGAGGCTTGTCGGCCAGTTGAGTTTGAACTGTTGTGGTTCATGGAAGTGGACTACCCAGTGGGCTGCTGGGTGATTGAGGCCAGAGCAGAAGAGGGTGAGAGCCAGAGTGAAAGCAGGGCTGGACACATGGAGGAGGATGCAGTCTGCACAAGGCTGGTGACTTCAGTCAGGGGAACAGGACAGAATCACCCAGAAGAGAGGCAAGGAGAGCTGGGAGCCAGGTCCAGAATGCCGTGACAAACATCAATTTGAGGACGGGGAAAGGAGGCCCACGAGGGAGCAGTGAGGAAGCCGTGCAGCGTGTGGGAGGATAGCCGCTGGGAGCCCGGGGACTGTGCGTGCCCCAGAGCCTCCAGGTCAAGTGAAGATAAACTACTTGATTTGGTCACTGGGAGGTCAACCGGGTCATTGGTTCACTGGCAAGAGCAGTTTCATTGCAGTGTAGGGCAAAGAGGAGCTCCCCGAGGTGGGATCTGGCACCGAGCATTCTGCAGAGTAATCAGACATGGGACCTGGAGCCTCAGGAGCAGCCTGTGAGGACCACAGTGGCCAGCAGTGCCGAGTGGACACGATGGTGACGAGGTGACAAGGTTCAAGAGAGAGGCACAGGACTCTGAAGGCCCCAGTGGCACTGAGTATGGGAAGCAGGAGAAAGGGATGCCCAAGCTCTCTGCTCAGAGACCAACCAGTGCCAGTGTGGATTCCAGGATCCAGGTCAGACAGTGGACAGTGGCTTGGGGCAGCTATGGGACTGACAGCGTGTTGTTTTACTTCTTAAGCATCAGTTTCCTCCTTTTTTTTGGTAGAGA